ATATAATCTTAAATTTTATGTAACAATATTAATAAATAATATTTGATGTATAAAAAATAATTTTAAACTTTATCTCAAATATTTTATAATATAAAAAATCAATTTTATTACAACAAACAAATAACTAATGTTATCAAATTGTAGAAGATATGGTGGTAGGGAATGCGGTAATGGTAGGGAGAAACTTGATTGCACGTAATTGTGGGGAGAAATAGGTCAATCACAATCATTTATCCATTTTAGCATTCAACCAAATTTATAGAAAAAAGTATTGATCATTAAAACATATTAATAATGTGTTTGAGATTGTTTATAGAAACAATTTATTGACTTATTTCAGTGTAACACCGGTAATAAGCATTTTTGAGTGTTTGAATAAACAACTTATACCGGTGCCAAACCGGTAATAAAAAGTTTTTGAAGAAATTAAACACTTYTGACTTATAATAAGTTGATAAATGCTTTTGTAGAAAAACATAAGTTGTTTCAAATAAGCAATCCCAAACACCCCCTATATTTTGGTTCATCTAATTTTTTAAAACAAGGAACATAAAGAGTTTAAACGAAAATGGTTTCAATTTATGAGAACGTATGAATATTCAAAACAAACAATTATGTCATATAATAAACTGGTAATATACACATGACGTGTTTTTATATTTTGTCAAAATAGTATCGTTTTCACTTGATCTTCACACACACAAATTTATATACAAAAAGGAATGATTATGAGAAAGAAATTAATTTTGTGAAAAGACGAGAAAATATATATGGACCACATACCTTATTTAATAAATGGATAAAATAAACATTATATATATACACATACACACATAGGGTTTACGTTCCGATGAAAATGAGAGTTATGATGAGAAAGGTAAGAAGGGTCCTCCACCCGTGGATTAATTCTAATTAAAGAGTTCCATTAGATCAACGCTAATGAGAAGTACCAGATAAATCTCGTCTAAAACGCAACTGATTGGTTGGTCGGAGATTGGGCTAGTCACATGTGATTTTACAATAACATCACGTACAAAATCACATGTGATTTACACGACCTTGCCACGCGGCCATAGGATCGTCATCACACTTTTTTAACCTTTTTCATACGTAATTTGGTCATTCTCTTATTTTCTTCGATAAGTTTCATTCTCATATRTATATATATATATATATATATATATATATATATATATATATATTACCTATGCAAATTTGTGTAACGATCTATTTTTTTTCTAATCTGAATATCAAGTGTAAGCAAATACATAAAACATCGATTTTACATAAGTACCTAAAACATTTGCATAAATTCTAATTATATTGAAAATTTCTTTGAAAAAGTGTCTGAATTTGAATAAGGATATCAACTATTTTGGTAAATTTCGTGGATGGGGTCGGAGTTTCTATAATTGGAATTGATGTGACTAAGTTGTTTATTAGAAGTGAAAATTGTATTAAAATGGAACTAACTTTCATCTGATTTTTATTTTGGGGAATCAATTTTCAAAATCGTTATTTAGGGGTCTCTATCAAACATTTTGTTTATTTAAGGGTCTGGCTGATCTATTGAACAGGTAACATGTAATTTAAGGGTCTCTATCAAACTTTTGGTTTGATTTGCCAAATTTGATTTAAACTTTAATATTGATACCGATTGGTTAGATATAAAAATCTTGAATGTGATATTTAACATTTATTTTTTATTGCATCAATTAATTTTTTTCTATTAAATTGATTTTTTTATTGCATTAGTAAAAAACAATTTTTATCGTGGTAATTTGGATTTTTTTTTTTAAATCTTCAATTTGATATCTGAATTTCAAAAAAACGATATTTGAAATGAAAAATAGATTTTATTCAATTAATTTTTGAAAAAAAAACGAATTTTAGTTATTTTTCAATAATTATTTTGCAAGTTGGTTCCTCAAAATAGGAATTAGATGCAAGTTGGTCCCCCAAAATGATGATTTTGAAAGTTTGTTCTTCAAAATAGAAATCAAGTGAAAATTGGTTCCATTTTGGTGCAATTTTCCCTAATTAAAATTCTGATTTGTAGGATAATTAATTTATAATTTATAGCTTTAAATCATTGAACTTTAAAGAAATGTAATGGTAAGGGTCGGATGCATACCGATTTCATAAAAGAAGGCACGAAGAGTGCCACAACCAGGTCCTCCGGCAAGCCAAATAATGAGTGGATCTTCATCTGGGTTCCCTTCTGATTCCACAAAATAGTAAAACAGTTGTACAGCTTCATCTTCTCCTACTCCGATGTACCTAAACATGTACGTACCACACTTTAACATATCCATCCATCGGAAATGAAAACATCCATAGACCAGATGGAAAGAGTTATATGTATGTACCCAGTTTCTAGTTTGAAAGGAAGGGGACCAGGATAGCCTGGTAAAGATTTGACAATGGTCTGAGAGGCAATAAGGGTGGTGGAGGTAGCCCAAAGAAGAAACCCCATGTAAATGGGAATCCATGTAACTGTGTGCATCATATGAGCTTTAGTGTGTGTATGTGTTAGACTTTGTTTTGACAAGGTGGATAGGATGGTAATTGGTTTTATAATGGAATGAATATGGATATGGATAGAGATGATTGAATGAATGAATAGATTTGAATGTAGAGGGCTGCATGCTGATCAGGTGAACTGTGATTAGCTGGCTTTTTAGAATGTCCAATTATTTTTTTCCATTTTCTTTTTTTGACAAATATGCTTAATATTATATATATATATATATATATATATATATATATATATATAGGGGTCTATTTAAGAGAGAACTGATTAGTTTGTGCTAATTGTGAGATCCAATTTCAACCATAAATCAATGGATAAATTAGGAAATTAATAATTATGGTAGTTTGAGTTAAAATTATAATTAGAGGGCATTTTAGGTCTTTTTAAAAAACTCCTCTCTCATCTCTTCGACCTCCAATTCCGGCCTCCGATGAACATTAATCCGGCAGGTATCAAGTAATGACAAATATATACAATGTGAAACCTATTGTGACATACTGTGATACCTATTATGACATACTGTGATACCATTGTGATACCAAATATGATCCAACTCAAACCTTAAAAACAAAGATACACAATGTGATACCCATTGTGATAACGGTTTCACCGGAGGCCGTAGATTGGAGGTCGGAGAGATGAGAGAGGAGAGAGAGGAAAGAGAAGTTTTTAAAAAAATACCTAATATACCCTATAATTATAATTTTAACTCAAACTACCATAATTATTAATTTTCTAATTTATCCGTTGATTTGTGTTTGAGATTGGACCTCACAGTTACCACAAACTAATCAGTTCTCATTTGATTAGGCCCCTATATATATATACTAGTTGTGTATCCGCGCAATGCGGCGGGAGCCGTGAATTTTAACGATTTTGAAGTTCCACTGGTTTTATAAGATAAAATTTAACGATGATATAAGTTACACTTACTCTTTACATATTAATACAATTTGAATAAATAAGAGTTGTGGTTCCAATTACAGACTATCGATGAAAAAAATTGTATGACAGTTTAAAATCTAATATATTTAAAATCCAACATATTGAAACGACTTCACAAATGTGTTCGATTTACACCAAGAGCAAAGAACCAAGAAACTTGAGTTTTAAGATAAACACTCAAAAGCAATAAAAAAAACTACAAATTTGACAGATCATAAGCCATGAAAAGACAAAAAAAGATGAGTTTTAGAATGAAATTTCAACTGCTTATCATTTTTCTTGTCCAGAAACTCATATTAAGGTTGAATTAATACATGTATATATATATTTAAAAAAAACCCAAGAACATATTAATTCAGATTATATTATACAGTGCAATTTGGACAGCCTAACCCCAAAATATATAGTATATATATATAAATAAATAACTATAAAAGTATAAATCGTAAACATTAAAAATATTTTTTCACAGTATATATAATATATAATAATATAATTAAATCAAAAACTATTTAATATTGGACTCATTTCGAAKGTATTAACGAGACGATTATAATGATGTAACTTGTTAAAATAAAAATGTATTTTTTAAACATGTTTTAATTTATATACGATTATGTATGTTAATTTGATAAATGTCTAAAATGAAACATTTAAAAATAAAGAACGTAAAGTAAATTAATTAAATAATTATAGGGATATAAAGTATAAATTTAAAATTATAATTTAAAAAAAATCGGTTTGTAAAAGAGTGAGTGTATGTGAAGAGATGAGGGAGTGAAAAAATAGTATAAAAGATATCTTGGTCATTTAATATTTTAAGACTTTAAGACTTTTGCTAAATTTACTTAATAAGATAGTATATATATATATATATATATATATATATATATATATATATACACACTAGA